ATTGGGGATGAATTTTGGACCTTGGCAATGCAAGAGGAGCTTAACCAATTCGAACGCAATGACATTTGGGATTTGGTGCCAAGACCCGAAAATCATACCATAATTGGTACGAAATGTACCAGGTGAGAAAATTGTTGCTACAATGGATAGGTTGTCGAAGGCTTGAACTATTGTATTTACAACACTAGAGATCCTTGCTAAAGCCACCTTAGCAGGTACATCTCGAGAGGGTGGATTTGGACCTTTATCAACCATTGAAACCTCACCAACATTGTTTAACATAGCAGATCGAGTACCTACATTCTGATAAACTCGGCATAGCTGGAAATAGTGATCAGGATCAGAAGTTGATGGATGTCTAATTAAGCGAACGATTAAGCTTCATTAATTTATTGCAAAAGTAATGAAGTGTGCTCTTTTTGCACAGCTGCTTTAAATTAATCTGGTGAATATTTACCTTTTAATCTTTATGATGACGCTTATCACTAATCAAAGCTATCTCTTGTTTCATCTATAATCCACTTAATTTTTATGTTGAATTTGAATCAGAAGGTTATCACTAATCAGTGCTTCTTTTGCTGCATTTATAACTTTCAGTTAAATCTTTATGTTGAATTTAAATCAATGTAGTCCTATCAGAAAGCACATAAAGCTGACCCCTCATATAAACCAGTAGCAGAATGCCTTACAATTCAATGAACACAAAATGTTATGCTTCCTCAATAAGAGAACAATAAACTTTGTGAATGCTTTCTTCACTTTGAGAACAACTATGCAGGGCAGCAACTATAAAGATACAACTATAAACAACATCTATAAAGATACAAGGCAGATGGTGATGGTGTTAATATGGTGCAAAGGCAAGAAATTATTAGGATTCTGGTAACTAATCCAGCTGCTACTGATCGAACAACAACAACTATCAAATCTGGACAATAGCAAATTGAGGTAACTAATCCAGTTTTGGATGCAGGGCAGCAACTATAAATATACAAGTATAAACATCAAATATAAAGATACAACTATAAATAGCAACTGCAAAGATACAACTATAAACA